CTACAAGGTGAACACTGCAGTTTGTGCTTTGGTGTCTGTCGGTGCGTTGTTCAATCCGCCACCTGACGTTTCCTGGTACGTGTCTGCACAGGTTCCCTGGCCCGTGGACATTGTGATCAGCTCTGAGTGTCAGAAGATCTACAACCAAGTGTTCCTCCTCCTGCTGCAGATCAAATGGGCCAAGTACAGTCTGGACACGCTTCGATTCAGTGGTACGAGCTCCACGTGAAGCTGAAAACTGAAAATAAGCCCGTTTCAGTCATTTCTCTGATAAATGGTTGTTACTCGTAGGTTTTACAGACGTCACTAAGAAGCTGGAGGGCGCCACAGCCGAGGAGGTCAAGGTCAAAGAGCGCGTGAACCAGCAGATCCACAGGATGTGTCTGCTCAGGGTCAAACTGATGCACTTTGTCAACAGCCTTCACAACTACATCATGACGAGGGTGAGGCAAGCCACCAAACTGACCTCCTGCAAACAGGAAGTGCACCCATGACATTCAATTCACTTAATTTTTATTTGCACAGCACCAAATCACAACAGCAGTCACCACAAGGTGCTTTATATTGTAAGGTAGACCCTACAATCAAATATACAGAGAAAAACCCAACAATCCTATGACCCCCTATGACCATGCCAATTGTGACAGTGAGAAGGGAAAATTCCCTTTTAACAGGAAGAAACCTCCTGCAGAACCAGGCTCGGTGAGGATGAGGTCAGTCCTCACTGCATTCTCAGTTTGACCAACTCTGGCTCTTCATCTGCTTTGTGTCTCGGCAGATTCTGCACAGCACAGGACTCGAGTTTCAGCACCAAGTGCAGGAAGCCAAGGACTTGGACCAGCTCATCAAGATCCATTACAGATACCTGGCCACGATTCACGACCGTTGTCTGCTGAGGGAGAAGGTGAACTTTTATGATGGTGCCATCACCACCAGTCTGACTGCTGACGCAATCAGCTGTAAAGAAGGTTCCTGTTTGTTTGAGATGATGAAAAAGCGTTCGTTCGTTTAAGAACACGATGAGCAGCTTGAGGTGTTTCTCAGTTTTCCTGCTTTAGTACAAAAAATGCTGCTGCACCATCAGCACCGCTGCTTGTACTGACCTCACTGTAGTGTGTGATGGCGGGCAAGTAAATAAATTGGATCTGATAAGACAGTGATTCTTTATGTTTCCAGGAAAACTTGTAAGACACTGTACTGTGGGTGGGACCCAGAACCTTCAGTGGGCCGAATCTCACTTTGGCTCCCTGCTCAGACTCAACCTGTTTCTACATGTTGTCTTTTCTCAGGTCAGTTTTGTGAAGGAGGCGATAATGAAGGTTCTGAATCTCGTGCTCATCTTCTCGGACAGATGGCAGGCTGGAGCCTGGAAGTAAGAGTGATGCATCTATTCAGTGGTGTTGATGTGACAGTTGTGCGCATCCAGGTACACAGACGACACACCAGCTCTGCAGCTAAATGTTGTTTCTCTTTCAGGATCGAGTCCATCGATAAAATGGAATCTGATTTCAAAAACTGCCACATGTTCCTTGTGACGATCCTCAATAAGGCGGTGTGCCGGGGCTCCTTCCCTCACTGTGAGTCTGTCGTCTGGGTGATGATGTCATACGCAGTGATTGTGTACGGTGGTCCAAAGGTGCAGAACATCCAACTTGGAAAAGCTTAAATGTAAAATCGGTCAACGCTACGAGGCTGTCGGGATCCAGCTGCAGCGCTCTGTGTTTCCTCCATACAGAGTGTGTCCGCAGTTCAGAGGGGATCGACTTCATAACGAGATATCCGCACAACATTTTCAGCCTGAAAATGTCGTTACGAGGGCTCGAGCGTGTGCGGTTAAAGTCTTCCAAGGGCCAACAAAAGCCAACCTTCAGTTATTGACATCTGCATCAGCTCAGACTCAGGAACCACAAGTCTCCTGCAATCTGATCCTTCGAGGTCAATTTAACAGGATATGAAAGTAATAAATGAGAAATAGGATGTTTGTGCTGGTCATCCTGTCAGCACACAGGATTGAATGATTGAAAACCTTTCCAGTTAGTGAAATATGTGTTTGGCACCTCTGGGCCACCGTAGCTGTCCGGTGTGTTGTTGTATGCTGTGAGCAGAGAGGAGCTGATGACGTCTGTCTCTCTTGTTGTGCAGTGGAGTCTCTGGCGCTCTCTCTGATGGCGGGGTTCGAGCAGTGCTGACGAGCCGGACACGAGCACGCTCTGTGACGATATCATTGTCTGCTGAGACGGACTCAGACCGGCCTGATGCTTCGCCACAAATTTCATGAATGCTTGTATTTTAATATTAATAACGTCTGTGACGAGGCAGAATAAAGATGTGACAATATGTGCTGACATTTGACTCCGTTATTCACTTTACGTTGTGTAAAGGACCGTGACCCGACAGACTGGGTTTTTTAATTGATTTTGCACTCATGTACAACGTCCTAGTTCAGCACACACACACACAATCGCCAGCTGTCTGCATACTGTCCCACTTCAGTCTCCACCCTCACTTTACGAAGGGAGGAACCCCGTTAGTTTAATCATGTCCACCTGATTTATATATTTGTTCTGGTTAAACAAGGGTTAAGTTTCTCCGAGGGTTGATGAGCTCTGATGAGAGCCTATTGTTTTACTTCACTTCTCGCGTGTCAGCCAATCGGTGAAGCTCTTGGCAGCTCTTGTCCCTCCTTAGTACCACCTCCCAAGTTTTCAGTCGCTTGTTTCTACAGCCGAACAGAGCAGGCAGACTTTTTTTTTTTTTAGAACTTTATTTATAAACAACAGTATAACATACAAGGCACCATCATTAATCCGAATATGTAATATCCTCGGTTGAGCGTTACAACGAGAAAAGAGGAAGAAAAAAACTAAACAATAAACAATAAACACAAAGCCAAAAGAGTTAACAAAAAAGAAAGAACAGTCATTGAAGGATTTGAAACTAAAGGCAAAAATCAATATGAACAAAAAAGGGCAGTCATGATCATTAAATAGGGAGGTTTCTTTTTTAACATAGATTAAACTTGTTAAATAATACAACAAGTTTATGAGCTTTCTTGTTATTGACAAGTTTCAGCGATTTGGCCCAGAGTTTAAAGTCATTCAGACATCTGTTTATACATGGTTTAGCTTTAAAATATCTGCATTTGTGAATAAAATTGTTTTCCAGTAACAAAAACGTCCTAATCAACAAGTCAAAATCTGCATTCTCATCAAGTTTTCCAAATTTTATTACTGTCACCGTCAAATGTGGTAACTGAATTCTCTGTAGCCAGCTCCACATGTCAGTCCAGAAGGAGTGCACTGATTCACAAGTGATCTAGACTTTCAATATCATTTTCACAAAATGTGCAGGCGTTCACATCTAAGTTAAATTTCCGTCTTAAGAATTCATTGGTTGGATAAACCTCATTTATGATTTTAAAGTGAACCTCTTTTACTTTAGGGGAAAGAGGAAGTGAGATATACTTTCTTCTTATCGCCTTAACCTCCATGGTGTCAAATTCTTTAAGAATATAATTTATTTTAACCGGATTAGGGCAAATTTCATTTATCAAAATATTCTTGATCATCTTGTTTGTAAACCTGCTGTCACCAAATTCAACTCCGGCTATGCAGAGCTGTCTCAGTCCAGGAGAAATTTTAGAGTGCACAATATCTTAATTTATTGTTGATCTCAAAGGGACTGGGATGGCTTTTATTAGGGATTTATATCTCTTAGCAGTACATCTTACATCAAATTTCTCACAAAACGTCTCATGTTTTAATAAGACCCCATTCTTGTCCATAAAATGAGCTACAGCCCAAATCCCTTTAGATCTCCATTCATCCATGTACGCAGATTTCCTACACAGACGGATATACCTGTTGTTCCATATAGGGGTATTGTGAGGAGTAAAGTTATATTTATAGATTAATTTCCAGTAGAGAAGGACCTGCTGATGGAAAGCTGAGAGTTGAGCAGGCGGACTAAAACTTTGTTATCGAGGGCAGAGCGAAACCGGAAGGTTTACTGAGATGTGGCTTCACGTAAACGCTGACCATCCACTTGACAGCGGTCAGGTTTTTGTATGGGACGAATCCAAAGACCAGGTCAGCGATTCCAGAACCCAGAGTGTTCCAGTATTCACTGGATGGCGAGCCAACCCAAGATCCTAGGAGACGATATACATATACACGCACACTCATTTGCACATTGATGGACTACAATCCTCTACTGTACAAGTAGTACGGTAGGACAGACAATCACACACACACACTCCTCATTGGATGGACTCTAATGCAATACACCTGTTTGTCATGGGCCCCACTGGTACCATTTGGACTTAAAAGGACTAATTCTTTTACTTGTGCACAATTTTATTTTTATTCTATTTTTTTGCTACTTTGGGGGAAAATTTTATACTTGAAGTTCTGTTAAAACCTGTTGTAATACTGTGTTGTTTACAAAATTCTTTTAAAAGGCTTAACATCACTAAAGTACTTTTAAGCCAGTGTTTGTCTGATTTCTCTGCCATAGTAATAGTAGTAGTAGTAAAATAGTTTTTAATTTATTTCTTGCATATTTCTACAACTCCTATCAAGAACACATTCTGAGTGTGCGTGTACAATCTACCATTGTATATATTGTATTATCTTATTTATTTTGTATTTCTTGTCTTTATATTCTGGTATACTCTTTGTATTCTTCTACTATCTGTACCTGAGCTGTGGTAATGCACAAATTTCCCCGCCGCAGGATCAATAAAGTCTTATCTTATCTTACCTTATCTGGACAGGTGCACAAACGGCAGCTTGCCGATGTCATGATGCTGACCCGTCTTTAAATAAATAACAAATAATTTTATTATTAATAATGGATAAAAACTGTGGAACGTCTAAGGCTGTAAAAACCAGAAAAGGATTGATAAATTAATTTGTTGTTCATTAGCTCTCCTGATCACGGCGCCATCACACCTGTGTGACGTCTGAGAGCCCTGCTGGAAGCAGCAGAAGAAGAGAGGCCGGCGCTGCGCACTGATTGGCTGCAGAGAGGGGCGTGCGGCGGAGCACAGAGATGGCAGCGGTGACCAGAGGCTCTCTCGGCGCGTTCAGGCGGCTGCTGGTGAGCAAATACAAGCTTCGTGTTCTCCTCAAAGGCTCTGTAAGCGCTTAATGCTGACCTGCGGCTAATGCTAACGGACATGCGTGCGCAACGTCACCAAGCTCAGTGCATTAGCATAGCTAGCCAATGGGCTAGCTGATGCTAACCCTAATGGAATGAGACAGCCTCTGAGCTAGCATGCTGTGGCTAACATCTAACAACTGCGACTGCTTCCTGACGGTTAGGAGCTGTTTCCGGGTCAGGGTATGGGTCAGAACCAGAACCGGCTGTGTACGGGTTCTGACTCAGATCCGAGCTCAGTAATTTTCAGGGTTTGTCCTGCAGGTGAAACTTGCTTCACCTGCTGCCACCAGGACAGGTGTTTGTTCCAGACGTCAGGAGCAGATGTGGTTTCAAACGACGGAAACGACGTGGTTGACAGGTGGTCCTCCAGTGATGGGGATAACTTTCAAAGCGAACTTCCTGTCTTATTTAGTGAGAAGTGACATGGGAGTGAGTCAGCTTCGAGAAATTCAGAGGAAACCTGTAATAAGAAAACACCTGAGCAGGGTTTCTGTCAGCAGGTGACAGCCTGTAGGCCATTTCCCATCATCCCCCACTTCCTGAAAGTGTCAAAGTCAAGCTCAGCATTATTTTCAGTGACTAAATCAGTGTAAACTCACTCTGTTTACTCATTTTCATGCAGATGAGGAAACATAGATCTGGTGCTACGGTGTCAGAGGCATGTTGTTTTTTTTATTGCCTGTCATTTTTTCCTCTGTTAGGGTTACATCGCCACCTTGTTTAAAATAACACCTGTATGCATCTTTATTAGAACCTGAAGGAGTTTCATGTTTGAGTTTCAGAGTGCTGGTGCTGGTCTGACATTTAGGACCTGAAGGAAGTACCATCAGGCCCTGAATATCAGGGGGCGTGGCTTTGAAGCACCTGTGTGTTGGCTGGTCCAGGTGACCTCAGTTATCTGCTCTTTTCCCATCAGCTGAGTCAGCAGAGCCGCAGATCTTTCCAGCTGCAGAGCTTCAGATGTGACAGGACTCTGCAGCCAATAACCTTCAGATGTGACAGGAAGCTCCAGGTGTTCAGCTGCAGAGGGCTGCATGTCGCTGTGGGTAAGTCCAGACCGGCAGCACCTGAGTCCTGGCCTCTTCTGATCTCTCTACTATTGCCATGGAGATCTGTATCATGGTGAACTGTTCTGGGTTCTCAGCTGTGTGATGGACTCTGGGAGAATTGAGGCAGATCGCTCATGGTGGTGTACGCTGACCTCCATCAGCAGATTGTTTTGTCCCTCTCTGATAATGTCACTGTTTTGTTTTGTTCGGCAGTGAATCAAGGACCTATCGTGCAGTTCAAACTGTCTGACATCGGTGAGGGAATCATGGAGGTGACCGTCAAGGAGTGGTACGTGACCCCCCCCAAAAAATAAGAGTCCAACAGCTCAAGCACCCGTTTTTATTGTCATGACAAAATTTTGGTATTATTTTGTTTTTAAAATGAAGCAAACCTGAAACCCCAGAGTTTGTAAAAGAACAAACAAGTGAACATATGAAGCGATTAGGATGTACTACTTGTAACTTGTAACCTGTGATGAAGTATAGCTTGTTAACTCGTTACAGTCCAGTTTGTTCATGTAAATAGAGAGTCCTCTTCACACACTAAAGTTAAATATGGAGTTCAACAGGGTTCAGTGCTAGGACCAGTTCTGTTTACATTACACATGCTTCCCTTAGGTAGTATCATCAGAAGGCATAGCATCCATTTTCACTGCTATGCAGATGACACCCTGACAACTTTATCTATCCATTAGGCCAGATAACACACACCAATTAGTTAAACTGCAGGAATGTCAGGAAGACCTAAAGCCCTGGATGACCTCTAATTTTCTGAATTCAGATAAAACTGAGGTTATTGTACTTGGGACAGAAAATCTTAGAAATATGGCCTCCAATAACACTGTGAGGAACCTTCGAGTCATTTTTGACCAAGATATGTCCTTGTGCATATTCAGGTCGTGTGATTTAAAAGTGCATAAATAAAACTGGATTCCTCTGGCAGGTACGTAAAGGAAGGAGACAAAGTTTCTCAGTTTGACAGCATCTGTGAGGTTCAGAGCGACAAGGCATCGGTCACCATTACCAGCCGCTATGATGGGGTCATCAAAAAGCTCTACTACGATGTAGATGCCACGGCCTTTGTGGGAAAACCGCTGGTGGATATCGAAACAGAGTCTGGCTCAGGTGAGACATCAGCAGATCTTTGCTCGTCTGCCCGTCCAAGTTCACGGCTGAAAGTCTCACTGCTGTTATCCTTCAGAGGTGATCCAGGAGGAGGACGTGGTAGAGACGCCCGCCATGGCTCAAGAAGAACACACCCACCAGGAGATCAAAGGTCACAAGACGCAGGCCACGCCTGCAGTTAGACGCCTCGCCATCGAGAACAATGTAAGTGTGATTCCTATTTGTCCCCATCGGGTTGTCCCAGTCTGTCCCACTGTGTTCCCAGTTGAGGTGTCGCTTTGCCCTCAGATAAAGCTCAGTGAGGTGGTGGGGACTGGCAAAGATGGTCGGATCCTGAAGGAGGACATCCTGAACTTCCTGGCGAAGCAAACAGGAGCCATCTTGCCTCCAACACCTTTCCAGGAGATTCAGACTCCGCCCCCGGCTCCTGCTGCTGCCAAGCCTGTGAGCACTAAGGCGGCTGTGAAACCTCCACCCGCTACTCCTAAACCTGTCTTCACTGGCAAGGACGTGACGGAGCCCCTCAAAGGTCAGAGATTGCTGTCACACCCAAGTGTTACGCTGTTCACTGCGAGCCTTGCATGTCATCTCTTTTCTCTGTAAACATTCTGATTGGCTCTTCAGGTTTCCAGAAAGCGATGGTGAAGACGATGACTGTGGCGCTGAAGATTCCTCACTTCGGTTACTGTGACGAGGTTGATCTGAGTCGCCTGGTGGCTTTGAGGTCAGAGCTGAAACCTCTCGCCGAGAGTCGTGGTGTCAGACTGAGCTACATGCCCTTCTTCATCAAGGTTGGGGGTTAAGGCGCCATGCATGAGCTGCCGATCGATCCCATGTTTGGTATTGAAGTTAATGCTGTGCTCTCATTGGCTCAGGCTGCCTCCCTCGGTCTCCACCACTTCCCAATCCTCAATGCCTCGGTGGATGAGGACTGCCAGAACATCACCTACAAGGTAAGAGCACGCTCTGAGCCGGCTTTGCTTCCCTGGCTGCTCAGTGGCGTCATTAGTGCTGATGGTAGTGTTTCATGTGATTCAGGCGGCCCACAACATCGGCCTGGCAATGGACACAAGTCAGGGTCTGCTGGTTCCCAACGTGAAGAATGTCCAGCTGCTCAGCGTGTTAGAGATTGCCCTTGAGTTGAACCGCCTGCAGGTACTCGGAGCATCGGGTCAGCTGGGCACTGCCGACCTGATGGGGGGCACTTTCACGCTGTCCAACATTGGATCTGTGAGTCTGAAAACAACAGCGACACAAAATATCACAACAGTGCTGAGAGAAGCTGCACTGACCTCACTCTGCTTGCTGTGTTCTAACCAGATCGGAGGCACATACGCCAAGCCTGTGATCCTCCCACCCGAGGTCGCCATCGGCGCGCTAGGAAAGATCCAGGTGAGCCGTGGTCAGACCGAACACACAGCACAGACAGACTCAGGTGTGTTTTAGTTTACTATGAGAGGAAAAAGGGTGAATAGCACAAGATATCAAGGAGCGCAATAAAGAACAAGAAGATGGTCTAAAGTGTACCTCACCTTGACTCTGATTACCTGTTCTATTTCAATATCTTCAAGAATATAAAACATTTGACCTGGTTTGTAAAATATTAAATATGAATTTATAAAATAAATTCATATAAATATTTATAAATATTTTATAAATTATTTAAATCAGTGTCTTCAGGAGAATGATGTTCTCTGGCTTTCGGAGGAGGGTTTTGTTCCTCACTCTGAAAAATAAACTTATTTTGTTCAGAGGAAGGAAAACTTACTAAGGTGTGCTTGTGGTTTCTTCGTGAATCACAACAGGAAGTTAAACCGGACCGTCTGACTATCAGGTGACTGTTCAATCAGCTGGCAGGCTCTGAGCATGCTCAGATACCCACCTGATGTTCTTCTTTCTTCTGTGAAACCACAGGAGATGGTGCATGGACCATAATTCAGGAGTTTATCCATTCAGCTACGCTGTTACCTGCTGCTGAGGATGTGGCATTACAGAGCAGCTGTTTGTTTTTTAACACTTGCTGACTTCCTGTCTGTGTGTCCAGGTGCTGCCGAGGTTCGACGCTGCCGGTCAGGTGGTCCCAGCTCACATCATGAAGGTCAGCTGGTCAGCGGATCACCGCATTATCGACGGCGCCACCATGTGTCGCTTCTCCAACCTGTGGAGGGAGTACCTAGAGAACCCGGCCAGCATGGTGCTGGACCTCAAATAAACAGTTTCCCAATCAGCCCCGGGGAGGGCGGGACACCACGCTAACAGACCTCGCTGCTCCGCCTCCTTCTCCTCTCCCTGCCTTCACTTCCTGTTTCTGTCTGAGGCCTTAATGCCAACTGTCATTTCCTTGTTGCCTTTAAGCAAGGCACTGTGAGGAGAGGAGAAGGGGTCAGCCTATCAGAGGGCACACAAACACACAGTGTGAACTGGGGTCATGATTGTGGGTTCTGCAGGTCCAGTCTGGTGGAAATGACCAGAAACAGGAAGTGAGTTCCTGTCGAGTTCCTGTTCCTGCACTGGAGCCTCAGGAAATAAATCGAGACAATTTGCCTTTTTTAAAATTAATGCAGGCTACTGCGTTTTAATGCATTAAAATCACAGACTGTATATAAAAGATGGCTACCATGCTATCACCCAGCAGTTGGTGACACCTTAAATTGGGTTTTTAACAAATGCTCAACAAATGACAAGGGCAGAGCCTTATACCACGTGCATCAGCTGTGGTGTGATGCTAAAATTAGCAGAGAAAAAACAGCGGAGAGAATGCAGGTTTAAATTCTCTGTCCATCTTTTATATACAGTCAAATGCTGCAGAGCAGTTGTTGTCAGGTGTCCAGGTGAGATGCTCAAGTCTGAGATGAGCTGGAAGATGAGGGGAAACACCTGTAGCTGCACAGTGAGCGTGTCAGATGGTTTCACTCAGAGTTGAGAGCAGATTTAAATAAACTCATGTGATCGTGATGTCATCCACAGAATCTCACCTGCAGACACCTGATGTCCTGTCACTGTTAAATAATAATATTCATTTTCACTCTGTCTGAATTTCCTCCGCCAAGGCCCAGTTTTAACACGGGCTGTTCCATCTTGCCCACACGAAGCCCGACCCACCGGGTTCAGGTTAAACCTGCAGACTGCGTCCGCACGTACGCTTACCCTCAGAGGAGGTGACTCGATGGTTTGTAGCTGCCCTGAAACTCTAAAATCCTGAGCATTAAACTCCACATATTCATGTACTGTGAAGTCATGTGACCAAGCGTGATCGAAGCAAACGTTGCTGGATCGGATCGTGCTCGTGTCAGTTGGATCAGTCAGGCAAACTCATTGTCGGTCGGATGGTGATGGCAGTTTTCTCTGCTGCTGAGCAATCAGTGGTGTGCTCACATCATCGCGGCGGTTTGTGAGTAGAGCCTTGGTGTTTTTAGTTCATTTTGTCAATCTGGTTCTGTTTGATTATAAAATCCTCCTCACAGTCCCGCTCATGAGCCTTGACCACGTTTGAATTGTGACCAATGCAGGAAACTGTTGGTATCATGCCAGCGCACCAGTGGGAATGACAGTTATTGTCAGTGTGGAGGGGGGGTTTGTGTCCTTGGTCTGACACCATTAACCCTCTGAAGCTGCTGCTGTGGAGTTCTTCCTGTTGACCTGACTCCGTTATTTTTGCTCGTCGTATTTATTAGTGACTGTTACTGCAGACCGCACTGAGAGTCTGCCAGCTGTTAAACTCCATCTTCTCAGCATCTGGAGCATGGACACGGCAAATAATCTGAGATTAGAGTTGAAATTAAGGATTATGGTTCGTTTTAAATGTAAATGGTGTTATGTGGGATTTTCTTTCCCCTCCTCCTGCACAGCTTCACACTGCACTGGATCTTTTATTTCGGGAATTTCTTTGTGCTTTCAAAAATAGTAAGAATTTCTTTTGTTATATCAGGTTTATAAAGCTGAATTAGGTTAAATTCTCTTGGTAACGCCAGTCTGGACCTTCATTATGTGTCTCGGGCAGAAGTGCGCCGACTCTGGACATCAGAGCAGGAAGCTGGTTTCAATTAAACCTCGGCTATAACCTGATAACTATATCTGAGGTGATGGAGCCATGATGTAGCGCTGCAGAGCTGTTGGTCGGTCCTCCTGGACTTCCTCGCTGTCCTGGTGGCTGCTGGGTACAGAGCACGGTGTCGGGTTATGTTGGTGTCACGTCGTCTTCTTTTTGTTAGCGTCGTCGGTTTTAGCGACAGATGAAATGTAAACGTGTAAAAAGTGTTTTGTATGTTTGGGAGTGGGTCGGATTCAAAATGTGTGAAACTCAATAAAACCTCTGAATACAGCTGAACACGACTCGTGTGTGTGTGTGTGTGTGTGCGCGCGAGAGAGCCTATGTTGGGGGTGGGGGGTAACCCTCAGTAACCTGCAGCTCTGGTCCTGATCAGCTGATGGTATTTTTAGTGTGGGTCTGTCTCAGATGCAGTAACAGCCGGTCATATGACCGCATGTCTGTAATCTGTCATGTGATGTGTCACCTGAAGGCTATAATTATCGAGGAGAGCCGAGGTCAGATTTCAGCAGACAGGACGCAGCATGGAGGAGAGCTGCAGCTCGGCCACAAGGTGACGAGTAATATCCGTGTACTACAGCAGGTAATACTTCATATAATGCTACAGTACTAATACTGCTGTTGTACTGGTACTGCTCCTACTGCAGGACTGAAACTTCTCTGCTTCAGTAGCTGGAAACTGTCTCTGGTTGTTTTTGATGTTTGAGCAGAGTGAATTTGATGGGTTTTTAATTAATGGTCAGTAAATTGATCTGAAACATGATTTCTGCTGGAGATCAATAATCAGTGTCACAAGATGGTCAGCGTGGGGATGGGGCCACAGCTCAGATAGGTTATCCTACATGTCCACCTGTGTGCTGTAACATCACAAGGCTGACAGGAAGTGGTGATGATGGTGGGCGTGGTGGTAGCATGCAGCTCGGTGAGCTCCATCAAAGCACTGTGGGAGACCAGGATCAGGAGGAGGAGGGAGGAGCATGAGGAGGAGCACAAGAGGAGGACCACGAGGGGCGGGGCCACAGGCAGGTCAGACCACACCCAGTCACTTGAGCACACTTTCTGTTGGTATACAGTGCTTGCTGGTCAAAGTGGGGATCTCCAAAAACTGCTCTATGAACCTTATAAAAATTACCCATAATCCTTTGAACTGGTTCATCTTCAGTGTTGGGACCTCTAGTCCCACCCACTTCCTGTTTCTCTCGCAGTGTTTCTACCATAGAGTAAATGAAAATTTGGTGAACCTGAAAAAAGATGAGTCAGTTTCAGAGGGGGGATGAACCCAGTGGTTATGTCCATCTCATACATACAGTCTTGTCTGAAAGCAGCCATGTTGAATCTCTGCATCAGTCAAACTGTATCAGGACAGAATGTTTCAGCCAGTCAAGGAGAAGACTGGGGGAAACAAATTATTTAAAACAAAAAAGTGTAAAAAATAAAGTCATAAAGATCAAACACATTAAAGACAAAAACATGATGAGAAAATAAAACGAAATAATAAAGTTTGGGAAAAAAAGGTAACTGAAGTGATGTCCCAAGTCAGACCGAAGAGGTTTCATCACTTGGTGATTTTGGTGCAGACTTGGAGTCGGGCTTTGGGAAGACCGAGCGGCGCTGGCACGGCTAAAGCAGAAGCTGGAGACAGAGGACGGCCGGCTGGTCCTCCGGATCGAGCAGGAGGAGTGGAAGGTAACGCCCCCCTCGCAGGAAGCACACTGAATTGTCACTTCAGCGCATTGTGAGCTCGCTGCTCTGGTTTCCAGGTTCTGCCAGGCTGCCTGATCCAGCTCAGTCAGGTCCAGGAGTGGCAGATCCACCGGACCGGACTACTGAAGATCCCTCACTTCATCTCTAGCTTCCAGAACCTTCTGGTGCTCGATCTGTCCCGGAACGGAGTCGCTGAGATCCCCAAACAGATCGGTGAGCTCACCTCGATTTAATATGCCTGTGAGCCACGTTTTCTAGTTCTGTGTGCTGTGACCTCACCTGGTTTTGGTCTCAGGAAAGCTGACCCGGCTCAGAGAGCTGCTGCTGAGCTACAACAGAATCCCGTTTGTCCCGGCAGAGCTGAGCGGGTGTGAGAGCCTGGAGAGGCTGGAGCTGGCAATGAACCGGGACCTAAATGAGCTACCAGACCAGGTGAGTGCCTGAACCTATGCCTTGTTACCGTACACCTGAAAAGTAAGGCCTGGTTCTGGTCCAGTCTGAGCTCAGGTGTGCTTCTCTCTCTGACCTTCAGCTCGGGACGCTGTCGCGGCTGCAGCATGTTGATCTTTCCATGAACGACTTCAGCTGCCTGCCTGCTTGCCTGCTCGCCCTGCCGGCGCTCGAGTGGCTCGACATGGGAGGAAACTGCCTGCATCACTTACCTGAAGACATACACAGGTAGGAGCTGGGACATGGCCTAAGCTCCATGTTGAGTCTGTGTTTCCACAGGCACTGCTAGTTTAGAGACTTATTCCTCATGAAGAACGAAAAACAAGACAGAACATCTTCAACCGGTCTTTTACTCGCTAACGAGGAAAGGCTTGGTCAGAACCAGGGTGTGAAGCTAAATGCTCCTCACCTGTCTCCAGACCAACTCCTTCAAAGAGCAGCTCTCCTCGCAGCTATTTATTGACAAACTGTTACAATATACATCACAGCACAAGGACCTCCCACCGTAAAACCCCCCAATGGTTCTAACAGACAAGGCACTGTGTGTATGTGTGTGCACGTGTAAGCACGTGTGCAAGAACTTGTGACCTCCTGCTCACCAAAAGGATCATAAAAGCAGAAAGCTCACCAAACATCAAACAGAACCTTCAGATACGATGTATCTACAATAAAACCCACGTCAGCCTCCCCCAGCACTAAATTGGCTGGAGAGGTGGTCAGACAAAGGAATGTCTTTGATCCTATAGTTTAAACTAAGACTTTAGAAATTTTACAAAATTTGACTTAACACTCAACCGCCTTTCTGTCAACAGCCAGTGATCATGTGTTTTTCCTCAGAATGGAGGTGCTACACACTCTGTGGCTGCAGAGGAATGAGCTGGAGAAGCTTCCGGAGAACATCGCCAGAATGAGGAGCCTGGACACGCTGGTGCTCAGCAGCAACAGGCTGAGAGACATTCCACCGCTCATGGAGGGCATGTCCAGCCTCAGGTGAGTCTGGCCATCCTCACGCACCTGCCCTCCCTCTGTCTGGCATCACTCACTTCTTCACTTCCTCGGAGCAGGTTTGTGAACTTCCGGGATAACCCCCTGACTCTGGACGTGACGCTGCCGAGCAGGAAGGCGGTGGCTGAGGAGGAAGAGGAGGAAGATGACAGGGAGATGTTCGGGAAAGAGTTCATGCTCATGTACATCCAGGAGGCCCGAAAGAGAGCGTACGCCGTGCTCAACGTGCACTGCGTCAACCGTTAGTACTGAGCATGCTCACTGACCTGCGTGCGCTAACACGCTAACCTGTGTGTGTGCCAAACATCTCATGGGGGCAGTGACCCTCAACGACGTCAACAAACAGGAAGCTAAACCCCAACTGACCCCTCTGACCTCAGGTTATTAAAGAGTGATGTCAACAATAACCACTGCGTTGTTCCTGCCATTCGGCACCATTTCAGGGTGATAACGGGGAAAAAAGTCACACTTTAGCATTTCACGTGAACAACAGCTACTTAAAATACTAGAATAATACACTGGACTAGCTCAGGATATGCACTTCCTGTTCCAGAAGTGGGGTTTATAAGCGTTGTAAATGTGGCGTCACTTTTGTATTTACATTTTCTAAGAGCTGAAATGTTCCTGCTTACTCTGTAAATCTGTTTGAAGAAGTGTTGGAATGATCAAGTCATTCCACTTCACGTTTTTATGATTAAAAAGGAAGTTGAATTAAATTTGACCTGTTTTTAAATTAAATTTACTCACTTCAGTTAACCATAAACATACATAGAAAAAAATTTATTTAGTTCACTGTGAAAAAACAGAGAACCCTGCCCTGTACACAACCAATGAGAACCTCGCCCCATACCCAACAGAGTTTCATTAGATCGATCAGATCAGATGGTGAATTAAGGTGTTTACCATCCTTAATTCACCATTTAAAAAAAAATACATCTAAAAGAGCTTTAGAAGCTGGATGTATAAACCTGAATTTAAATTTTATGGATTTATGAAGTGACTCTCTCACAGTGTCTGCAGGTTAAACTGAAGGTGCTCACCAGTATCAGCTTTTGGGTTTGATACCAACAGCACACTTATAACTTTAAATTTACATAGCTATTTGGGGCAGCATGGGGGCACGGTGGTTAGCACTGTTCCTTGCGTGGGTTCTCTCCGGGAACTCTGGCTTCCTCTCACAGTACAAAGACATGCAGTTAGTGGGGTTAGGTTAATTGGAAACTCTAATTTGCCCATAGGTGTGAATGAATGTGAACAGTTGTTCGCCTCTGTGTTAGCCCTGCGACAGACTGACCACCTGTCCAGGCCATACCCTGTCTCTCGCCTTATGTTAGCTGGAATAGGCTCCAACCCCCTCACAACCCTGAAAAGGATAAAAGGATGGCTGGATAAATATTTGATGATAAATTCATATTTTCCCAGTTTTACATTAGTTGTATCACTGCACAGCTGCAAAACCCAACCAGCCACTAAGCTTATTATTTCTACCCTTTACATTTTTATATAAATTATATATAAAGCACAACATTAAAAAAAATGTCAGTTCATTTTGAATTTATCATAATTAACATTTAGTTTTGAATAGTTTTGTTGCTGCCTGACATGTTTAGAATATAAAGAATGTTTTAGAGATTGCAGCCCACAACTCATGCTTTCATTAAAACTATGCATAACCTTTTACTGTGAGAAAAATTAACAAGCAGGACATTTCATGCTTAAATCAGCCATTATTACTCACGTGTAGACCACACCAAGGTTTTTCAACATGTTTATACTGTAATTGAGGGAAACTGTCCCAGAGGACCAATCAGGGGACCCTTTCAGAGGGATCTCCATAACAATTCAGGGACACGACACAAAGACTTTAATCATTAAAAGTGTTTTCATACAAAAATGTGGTGTAGAATATTCTAAGTTGGGCTTGTCTGGATTTAAAGAACTCAGATCGCTGACTCAGTTTAGGCTAAAATAATGGAGGCATACAGAATATTTGGCCCGTGTTTATATCAAACCCTCATTTCTGTCTTTGGGGCTGAAATGGCACCGTATACGAGGAACAACCCGACATCATTTGAATGTTTTGTTGATTTCAGCTGACACGATTTTCTCTTTGAATGTTTCAGAGTCCGATGGTGAGTCCAATGACGAATCCTCAGCATGAAATACGGCCCCATGTCTTTTTTTCTTCTTCTGAGCTTCTCCCTTTTAAAGACACTTCCACAAAGCCACACTTGTGCTTTTATTTTGAAAGACTTTAAGTGGACAAGCAGGACGAGTCAAACTCCAGAAGTTTTCCAGCTATAGAATAATCTATGATTGTGCCATGTGACAGGCAGATTTTAGTGAGCATGCTCAGAACGTCACTTGTTGGAAGACTGCAAACGTTTTATGTACATGAGGAAAAAAACACTTTAATATAAACAGAAAACACCTGAGCATGTTCAGTCTGACTTCCTGTAACTTAAAACTCAAAATTGCAGCTTACAATCAAACAATCAGGAGGAGTGGGGGGTGAGGGGTACAGCGGTCAGCAGGACGTTCTCCAGCGTGACATCACTGCTGATGTAACGAGTCAGTTTGCTGCTGAATCCTTTCATCTGCAGGAAGTGACACCTGCCGTGGTCGATCAACTGTTTGCATAGACGGCCGAGCTGCTCACGTTCAGAAGCCGACAGAAACCTGTCACGCACAGACGTGCACACACATAGACACACAAACACAGTGTGTTAGTTCAGTGTAAACATGCAGACAGTCCTGATTATTATACGCTAGGAACATTAAACTCTAGCCCCTCCTTCTCCTCCTGTAGACCCGCCATCTCATCCTATAGCCCCTCCTTCTCTTCCAGTAGACCCTCCTGCTCCGAAGCTTGATTTTCATGTTCATCACTTGTGCACTGATGAGATCAGAGTATATGCAGTGTCAGTCCTCCGTGTTTAGCCTGTGTGACACGCTGACATCAGCTCGTCACAGACCTTACACTGAATGGAGCTAATAAATATTTAGAAAAAGGATTTCCAGCTGCTTCATGAATCTATGGATCACATGTGTGAACTGAAATAAATCCACTCTCCTGTCCTTCACTCTGTCTCTGCAGCTGATTCTGAACATAAAACACTGACATGCTGCTGACTTGTGCTGATAGGTTGGTTAAACCTCCTTAAAGCCCAGCACAAGCTGCTCGATGTGGTGTTTGAAGGTGCTGATGTGAATCAGTAAAGAGGGATTATTCTTAACTGTGGATCATGCAAAGCTGCTCTAAAATAAAACCAGAGGAACGAAGACTTCTTCAAATCTTCATTGAGTAAATCAGATTTTTTTTTCTAAACTACAGAAACTTTCTACTTCGGGCTGGGTCCATACAACCATCGGTGACAGGTTTCAGGCGCAGAGGTCAAATATTTACCCATTCACAGCGTCTGTCTCTTCTGCTGGTTCGTGCTCTTCACCATCTCCTCTCTGATTGGTCGGTCTGAGTCCACACGTGGCCCAACTGGACATCCGACAGAAAGCAGAGAACTCCCGCGCCCCGAGTCCTCTCTGCAGAAAGAACTGCTGCCCGACGTAGTGACGCCAATCACAGCGATGGTGGCAGCACAGTGCCACTGTCAGGCCCAGCACTGGGCCAGGACCACAACCTGTTGGTGCTGATCCAAGACCCCCTCCTGACCTTGGCTCAGATGGTTCTGATGGTCTGAGGCGTTTATGGGGCGGTTCTTCTTCCTCCGACTGTCCTGCAGTTTCCAGCAAACAGCGCAGAGCCAGATCTGAGAACGGAACCAGAATATGATGAGACTAGACAAGTACTACAGAAATGCTAGTTTCCAGGTGGATGTTGGTGTACTTCAGCTGAAGTTCTGAGAAAAACATAAACTGATCTCCAGGTTTTGCCCTGCAGGTAAAACCAAACCCATCATGCTTCAGCACAGGTGGAGGTGTACTGCCATCAGAGAGCAGGATGGAGCTTGCAGGAACCAGCGTAGAGCAGCAGTTACTGTGGAATTATGAGCCGGATGTTGCTTACCACCAATCAGAGCTGACAGTTTTTTGGCTGTTCTCACCTGTCGCCGCTCCACACAGGTGTTTACCAACTCCGACCAGAGGCAGTTTCTTCTCACAGAGCAGAGGGACTTTACCTGAAAGCATCACAGAAACAGGTCAGGAGAGGTCAGAGCACCACAGTGTCCATATGTTCCTGTCTTACTTAGATCCAGATGCTGAATGTCCACCTGCAGCCTCTCAAACTGAACTCCAGCATCCTGATGTTTCCCGTCCACCTGCAACAGAACGCACCTGTTTCACCTATCAATCAATCAAACTGATCAGCTGCTTTCAGTCTTGATCACAGTCTCTACATAAAAGATGAACACACCATCAGTGTATGAGGTGTGAATCGGAGGAACGCCGACATGCGACAGCAACGCTTCCACTTTTATTTTAAAGCCAGAAATGAAAATATGGAAAGCAGCAGGTGAGCAGGCGGGGTTCTGAAGGTACTTGGGTTGTCGGGGGTTTGGGTTTGAGTTTAGGGTGAAGTGGATTTCAGAATCAGGGCTGTACCTTGAACCGGGTGCTGCAGCGCTCCACCAGCAGCAGCTGCAGGTCTTCACAGGTCTTCAGATGCTCGCAAGTCTTCAGGGCCTCGTGGATCCAGTGGGACAGCTTCCCTCGACCCGCTCCGAACTCCACAAAGCACCGCCCCCTTCCCAGCAGCCCCAGCTCCTCCATGTGACCTAAGATGGAAGACTGAGCACACCCGGCAGGTCAGACGGAGATTAGTTTTACTTCTCAGTTTAATTCTTCAGCATGGAAATGAGATGAATACACAGACTAATGGTGCTGTCACCTAGTCTACCTGCTGCTTCAGGTGTTTGTGGGCGGAGTCTCCATTCTTTGGGTTGTGGAGCTCGTCGTGGAGGGCGGGGTGAGACTGGACGCTGTCCTCTAGATCGCACTGCAGTCCTACAACAACAGCAGGGACACCAGGAGAACATCCGCGGACTTACAAAATGTCCAAAAACTTTATGAGTCACACTTAACCCTAACCCAAATTAAACCCGAACTAAACATGACCTGAACCAAAACTAAAACTGACCTAATTTCAAACTAAAACTGGCCTAAATTCAAACTAAACCTTAACCTGAAACTAAACCGAAACGAGACCTAACCCCAAATAAATCAAAACTAAAGCTGATCTGAACCCAAATTAAAGCTGACTTAACCCTGACCTAAACTTAATTTACACCCAGTTTAAATATAAACTGAATCTAATCCCAATCCTAACCTACTCAGTGAAAAGACTGTCAGTTTTGTGATGTTTTGTGTCACATCAGCCAAACTGAAGCAGTCGTGTGAGATTGTGAGTACTTCAGCCATCACTGATCACTGGATCTCAGCAGCTCACCTTTGAACGCTGTCTTCAGTTTATCCACCAGAGTTTCCAACTCAGTCCTGCTGAGCTCAGACAGACTCACCTGTAACACATCACCATTATGATGTCACTATCATGATGTCACCATCACTGTCATCAGTGGTTATCATAGTATTTACTGTGCTGGTTTGTGCGTAATGAAGAAGTGTGTGATTGTGTGTGTAGACGCTGCCGTCCATTCTCGGTGCTTCCTCTGCTGTGAAACAAACTGTTTCATGACAGTGTGTGTGTGAATCGAGCTGCTGTTGGTCTTTAGAGATCAGTGAATGTCTGCCTGGATGAGGCACTGTGAATCAAAGCGTCTGCAGATGTTTTACTTTACCAGTTTTGTCTTTGATCAATCAGCATTCGACCACAAAACACCAACGTAAAACCACGAATCAGCTTTCTGTAAGCTGAGACTCCGTGTTAAATAGCCACGGGGCAGGTGAGTCGTTACCTGTCGAAGCGTCTCATCTCCATCAGCTGATCCAGCGTTGATGTTTTGGACAAAGTAAACCTGCAGGAGATCAAACGTTCATCTCTGTGGAAACACTTGGATAAACACGCAATCGCTGATCAACTGATGGATCAATAGCGTCTCACCGGTTTGGCTTTCTCTCTGGAGTTGCATTTCTTCAAGTGTTTCTGGAGTTTGTCTTCACTCACGGTGCTGAAACACATAAACAAGCAGAGTAGGATCAATAGCTACCAGTGATCAGCTTTCTGTCAGCCGATCAATGACCTGATTGATGACTGATGTGTTGTCACTCACTGTTTGGGGTCCAGAGGACAGACGATCCTCCTGCTGCCACCCCCGTCCTCCTCCTGGAAACAGGAAACACATCACAGGTTCATGACATCACAGCTGATCGACATCATTGTTCTTCTTAAACTCGCTGATATCTGCAGCACGGGTCAGTCTGCCTGCTCAGATGTGAGCTCAGACCACCCCACTGATTTCTGAAATCTGGACGAACTCGTCATCGCTTCATGTACGCTCGTAGCTTTCCACGGTGAGTTTTTTTCAGGACGTTGTCCGGTGTGTCCATGGCAAGTTCGCATCTGGAAAAATTAAGAAAAAATTACGACTTCTTCTTCATCACTTCTATTGTTGCAGGATAGGATCAAAGTCTTCTCCGTGGTATCGACCACTGTATTCTAGTACGGTGGCAAGCCCAGTGCCAAATCCCCACAAAGACATCTGCAGCAGTGAGTCCAGAGCGCAGACTGACCCGTGCTGTTAAACCTCATACAGAACCCCATTACCTCACAATCACGAGCACTGAGCCTGCAAATAAATGAATGCATCAGATTTCTTCATGCAGCTTCAAATGATCCAACTCTAGCAGCTACAAACGGCTCACCTGCACTGAGCCACCGCAGACTCTTCAGGCATAACCTTGTGATCATCATCATGCCATTGCAAGCTATATGATTCCTATGGTATGTCCACACGTGTGCCGTATATACAGGTGTACAGTATAGTCTGAATAAAGAGATCTTCATTCTGTGTGTGCATGCATTACATTAATGTAGTGCACACCTCATCATGATCTGTGGTTTGATCTGTAATAAGATATCCGACTTCATTCCAGACAGTGATATATTAAGACTATATTGTAATCACTCCCCCATCCAAATCCTTGAATTCAGGTGTTCCATCACTTCCATGTCCACGGGTGTATAAAATCAGCATCTGGGCATGGAGACTGCTTCTATACACATTTGCAAAGAATGGCTCGCTCTCGGGAGCTGAGTGAGCTCCAGCGTCGTGCTGTGATAGGACGCTAGAAGTGTCTTTGCGATATCCACAGCCAGTTGTTAGTGGGATTATAACCAAGTGGAAACGACTGGGAATGACAACAACTCAGCCATGAAGTGGTCGGCCATGCAAATCACAGACCGGACTCAGAGGATGCTGAGGATCATGGTGCACAGAGTTAACAGACTTTCTGCAGAGTCAACCTTTACAGACGTCCAAACTTCACGTGGCCTTCAGATTATCTTAAGAACAATGCGTGGAATGGGTTTCCATGGCAACCAGCTGCATCCAAGCCTTACATCACCAAACAAATAGCAAAGCATGTGCCACTGGACTCTAGAGCCATGGAGACGTGTTCTCTGGAGTGACCAATCACGCGTCTCCGATGGATGAGAGTAGGTTTGTGGTTGCCAGGACAACGGTACTTGTCTGACTTCACTGTACCAAGCGTAAAGTTTGGGGGAGGGGGTTTTAGAGTGTGGGGTGTTTTCCAGGAGTCGGGTTCCACCCCTTAGTTCCAGTGAAAGGAACTAATCATGCTTCAGCAGACCGACACACTTTGGACACTTTCATCTTTGCGACTTTGTGGGCATACTTTGGGGATGGCCCCTTCTTGTTCCTGACCGGTCCACCTGGAGCCAGATCACACCTGAGCAAGTGACTGTATCCGTGAACTCACCATGGTCGCGTGCTCCCCGCAGTACTTTCTGCCTTTTCCCGCCACCATCTTACAGAAACGCTTCTTCTTCTGCACGAAGAAACAGCAGCGGCTGGGCTCCGGGGCCGCCATGTTGTAGGACACGAAAGCAGCTGCCTTCAGGGGCCCGATGGAGTGTGGGAAATACCACCGAAAAAGCAACACCACGTGGTTTACTGCGTAAAAACATGACGGCTGTCTAATAGATGGTATTTCTTTTATAAATCACTGAAATTATTTTACTGTAGTTTTACCTGTATGGTTCGCGATCCCGTTTGGGTTTCTCAGCGTCAACTTAAAGAACAATTTAAAATTACCAATCTGATGATCCAGCTCTTAAAGTTTTTTCACTAAAGTCGAAAGTTAATTTTAATCCGCAGAAACGTGTCCTTATACTTTAAGAGTTTACTTTTCTGAGCAGGCTTCAGTTTGGTGAAAACTATTCGACGTTTTGATCTTTATTCTTTGGGTTACGAAACTATAAAACTCGTTTTTCCCGAGCTGCCCCTGAAAACAGCTCTGACTTCTGATTGGACAGCTACATGGCTGTCCATTCTCTTTGGCCGACTGATGTGCCATTTAAATCATTATCCCGCCTCTAGCAGCGGCGGGGTGGGGCTGTGGCTGAGGATGCTGTGACGTTAGCGGTGGACAGTCCATGCCATGATGGCGGCGGAGCGGGGCGGCGGTCCCGGCTCTCCTCCCGGCTCTCCTGCCGGCGCCTCCCGGACTGCGGCGGATCACTCGGTCCTAGTGGTAGTGGGAACGCTGCGACCCGCGGAGCTGCTGGAGCGGGTACTGCAGCAAATAGAAACAGGTGAGTTCTGGAAGTTCAGGAGAATAGAGCTGCGGGGCCGGAGGTCCCCACAGCCCTTCACAATAAAAGTCCGGGAGGCTGCTGTTGTTAGAATGAGCTGTGCCCGGTCCGAAGTTTTAGAGACTTTATCGCTTTGAAGCTGATGCAGAGAAACTTTGAACATAATTGTAAAGAGTAACTAGCACCTCGTTTTATTTGACATTTATGAAACCTTTTCCTGTTCGGGTGCAGCTGTTTAACGAGTCCAGTGTGCAGGTTTCTTTTTCGGGTCACTTTAGAAACTCTCAGAAACTGAGACTGATTCACACTGAGCTCTGTGACGAGGTCTAAGCTTTTTATTTCCGGATTTCATCCGAAAAATAAAATGCATACTACTGAGTCATTATTTTATTTTTTGAAAATGCGTCTCGCCGGAAGTGGGCAATTGCGTTTCTTAATTTTCCGGACTTTCTGTAAAAGTAGGTTCACAGAAAACGAACAGAGCAACTATCAGGAGGACAATTTGATATCTGTTCAATATGATTAATGCGATCTCTGATTCATCTGAAAGAGTTTTGAGTTCTGAAACACGCTGAGCTGATTCACTGTCTAACCTTTAGACTGATCACAGTCCACACACACACACTTGTCTCTCAGCCTGTTTATTACAGCTGTTTTATGATGAGTGTGCGTGTACAAACTCACTCTCTGTCCACTCGCACAAAAAGAGGAAGTGTGTTACTAAATATCACTGACTTCCTGTTTGCAGTAGAAATGGTCTATCTGACAGTGATGTGCGGCTGATATCTGAGGTTTCACAGCCATAGCACACCAACAACAAGCTGTATATGAAAGATGTAACCTCGGTGATTTCACCCACTGCTTCGTGGACTCTGTACAGACTTAGTTACCTGCTAATTAGTGACAGCCAATCAAAATCCTTTAATAGCCCTTATTAACTTATTAACTGGAGCTCAGATTTCCTGGATGGCCTGTTAGTACAGTAACCTCACAGCAGCCATGTAAGATAATGTCATTAAAATGAAAATGTTCAGCCCTTTTTTGTTTCTTATTAATGTCCAGGTGTGCGCTGCTGGGCGGTGGATCTGGACGTCTCCGTTCTGGATCAACAGCTGAAGCTCTTTGTGTCGAGACATTCAGCCTTCCTGTCAGAAGAAGTGCGAGGTAAGCCTGTATTGGGATTGATTGGAGGAAAGAGGAGTGGTCAGACACTCGGGGTGGATTTGTACCCGGGCCTCTTAAGCCAGTACCCTGTGGACCTCCATGTTTGATGTGTTCTCTGATGCTGAGCCTGGCGGCCTCGGAGGATTTTAAAATGCATGAAATGCTTTCGATCAGCAGAGGAAAATCCCGCTGATGCCTTTATCAATAGCATCATTAATTTCTGTTCAGCAGGATGATGGCACACTGTGATGGGGTGTTTTAGATCAAATGAAAAGCAGTTTTGTCCTGTGACTTGTGCTCATGGCCACAAGCTGATGGCGTGAGGCAGCGCTTCTGTTTTTTTGTAAACAGGACCTCAGACTGAGGCGGCAAGGACAGCTTTACAGAAACTGTCAGCAGCTCAGGACTCTGCAGGAGGCGTGAAGAACCGCGAGTCCTCAAACACGGCCGCTTGTGTCACATGACCTGGAGTCTGAAAGAAAATCACAAGGACTTTTAGATGTGTGCAGGATTGTGAGGGTGACCAAACGGATGAAGGTTCGCACAAGTGTCAGACTGTGTATGTGTTCCCTGAACCTCTGAAAGAAACCGTACTTCATGTTTTCGTTCCCTTTTAGCTGAAACGTTAAAGCGGGAAAACCTCATCGTCAGCTCACAGGAAGCTCTGTAACGGGACAGTGATCAGACATGAGCTGCTGAGTTTAAATTATTAATGTTCGGGGTGGGATGTGGGTCCATCTCAGGTCATAACAGTTTAAAAACACCTGACCGTCTCAGTCTGAGCGATGCAGTTTCACGTGCAGCAGTTGCCAATTTCCTCTGCAGACGTTCTTCCAGCTTCATTCACTGAAGGATCCGAGTGGAGTTTTCTTCAGAATGAACAGGTTTCTGTGGATGCTGGTTACAGAATGTTCCACGTGTTTTGTTCTGAAACGATCGAGAACCAGTCACATATCACCTGTGACTGGGAGATATCCTTGTCACTGACAGGTCCTGCTAACATGGATAAACAAAGATCCATCCATCCATTCTCTTCCTCCTATTCTTTTTTTTTTGGGTTGCGGGGGCTGGAGCCTATCCCAGATGTCTTAGGGCAAGAGGCAGGGTACACCCTGAACAGGTGGCCAGTCTGTCACAGGGCTAACACATAGACACAGATACGTGGACCTCAGAATCTGTTTGAGATAACCACAGATAGACGGTACTTCTTGTGACCTTACTGATGGGGTATCCAAACTGAGCTCGCCGTCCACTGTGATGCGTGATGCCGAGCTTCCTGACACTCACCGTGACACAGAGATGATGAATATGAAGGCAAGGTGAGGGGCAGCTCTCTGACGGGGAGTCCAGAGCAAAGCGGTGATGGGGAGGTTGAGTGTCGTCAAAATTTGGTGGTCATAATAATGATGAAGAAGACGAACATCATCATCATCATCAGTTTTAAGGGTTTAAAGTTGACATTTTATAACTTTGCTGTGTTTTCCTTTAATTTGACCCTCCCAATCTTAACACTTGGTCTAAACTGAGGAGTTGAAGGCTCCTCAAATTCTGCTCAGCTCCTCTGAGGCATTTCAGTGCATCTGAAAGACTAACAGCTGATGGCCCAGGTGTTTACCCTCTGCCTCACCTAAGAGGAAAGTTGACCTGGGACAGGTCAGCGACTTAAAGGCAACAACACGGACAGAGGGTAAATCAGACTGTGGCACAGTTGATCCAACAGGACGAAGTGAAGTCATCAGTCTGAGGGGCTTTAAACAGAGACAGATAATTGGTTGTTCCATCCAAACACAAACACAGTCAGCTGAGACTCTGCTGAGCCGCCCAAAGACATACAGACGATTGTGGCTCAAAGAGTTGGCAGTTCGTCTTGTAACCGAAAGGTTGCCGGTTCGAGCCCCTCGTTGTGTCCTTGGGCAAGACACTTCACCTACCGCCTACTGGTGATGGCCAGAGGGGCCGATGGCCGATATGGCAGCCTCGCTTCTGTCAGTCTGCCCCAGGGCAGCTGTGGCTACAACTGTAGCTTGCCTCCACCAGTGTATGAATGTGAGAGTGAATGAATAGTGGAATTGTACAGCGCTTTGAGGGCCCCGAAAAGCGCTATATAAATGCAATCTATTATTATTATTATTATTATTATTATACGTGTGCACACACACGCACCCAGACAGACAGACTCGCATGCACACAGATGATGAGCTTTAGTTTCAATGGATGTATTTTCAGTGGAACCTGGCAGGCAGTGTGGTGGGTGGATGTGGTCTTGAGCGATGTCCCGCCAATGAATGAGCAGCTGCAGCACTCATGGAGAGAACAGGAGAGTGAGCAGGAATGAGGGCAAACCTGAGGGAAGATCTCCCCCTGACACTCGTTTGTCCTGTTTGTGTGTTTCAGGTCAGCGGACTCTCCAGCACAGCGGGGACGTCCTGGACACGCAAGTCGTGGTGAATCCAGGCTCAGAGTTTGTTTCCTCAGAGGTGAGTCAGACGTGAACCTTTACAGATGTTTTCTCAGCTGTTGGCGGGCTCTCGCGTACACGGAGATCAGCTGATCTCCTGTATATCTGAGAATACTTCCTGGCTCAGTTTGCTAGGTGTGTGTCTGAGTATGTTTTTATTTCCTCTGAGCTGCACCGATGATGCATTTCCTGTTTCAGGTGCGGCGGCTTGTCTGCAATCCATCGCGCCGCAAACTGCTGATTCTCGCCGGTCAGTGTGTTGAGGGCAGCGGCGACATTGTACTGCAGAAAGGCTGCTTCTCCCTCAGCAACCTCATCCAGATTTTTTCTGACGAGGAGGTAAGCAAACTGTGTCTTTGTTGGTTTTGTTTACACAGCACGTTTAAGTGCTTGATGATGTTCAAGTTGCTTGACTCTGTGTCGACAGGTCGGTGAACTGCTGAGCTCGGCAGGCCCAGCGGTGAAGCCTAGCCTCACCCTCAGCTGTCCAGACTCTGGCCTTTGGAAGGAGCCGGCACTGGAGAAACACAATCTGCAAGACTTCATAAACATTCGGATCAACCCTCCCCCAGTCCTGCCCGAGATGGAGGGTTTGCAAGAGTTCGTAGAGTACCTTTTGGAGTCTCTGGAGCCCGAGTCTCCCTTCGACCTACTGGAGCCCCCAAGCACCGTGGGCTTCCTGAAGCTGTCTCGACCTTGCTGCTACATCTTCCCTGGTGGGAGGGGTGACTCTGCCTTCTTCGCTGTTAACGGTTTTAATGTCTTGGTGAACGGTGGCTCTGACTCACGCTCCAGCTTTTGGAAACTGGTTCGACACTTGGACAGGATTGACGCTGTACTGTTGACACACATCGGAGTGGACAATCTGCCGGGCGTGAACAGTCTGCTGCTGAGAAAAGTTTCCGAGCAGGACGACGAGGCTGCCG